TATTATATTATATTATATTATATTATATTATATTATATTATATTGTATGTTATTATGTATGTATGTATGTATGTATGTATGTATGTATGTATGTATGTATGTATATATATGTATATATGTATGTATGTATGTATGTATGTATGTATGTATGTATGTATGTATGTATGTATGCATGTATGTGTGTATGTATGTGTGATTCTGCATGTATGCAATATATATATATATATATATATGTGTATATTTATACATATATCATAACATTTGGTGTAGTTGCTGTAAGTGCTCCTGGGGTCACTCTGAAATTCTAGCTGCGGCTCCTTCTCGGCACAGTCATACATGAAAGGCAAAGACCAAATGTGACATTGGAATGGTGTGGGGTTCTCGGGTTTGGGGCTTTTGCTGCTTGGGGCCTCCGGCAAATCCTGAGCCCTCTCCCAAAACTAAAACCTGAACCCGAACCTGTTCACGTGCCTGAGGCAGCTTTCACGAAGACATCGCACAGCAACATCTCGGAGAACACCACGGGCATCAACAGCAGCACGCCTCTTGCAGGCGAAGTACAGACAGACAGACAGACAGACAGACAGACAGACAGACAGACAGACAGACAGACAGACAGACAGACAGACAGACAGACAGACAGACAGACAGACAGACAGACCACAGAAGGGCGGACGGACAGGCCAACATCTTCATACAAATGCACATATATATATATATATACATATACACACATAAATACACATACGTACATGCAGACCGACAGACAGACCGACAGACAGACAGACAGACAGACAGACAGACAGACAGCCAGACAGACAGACAGACAGACATGCATACATGCGTACATATGAGGGTCCAACATTGGAGCTGAGTTAGCTCAAAAGCGGACTGCTTTGTACAGCCGCGGTTGCCCAGGTTCCAACTGGAACCCACAGAACTGTCTTTCCATTGTCAACATGATGGTCGAAATGCGGTCTCGTCTAAAGAGCTACAGTTTGAACTTAGGGTCTCCGTCGAAAAAACATACACACCAGGATCTTTGGTCCCAAGAACATTTAGTGGTTTCTCCTCTTGATGGCACCATTCCACAGAAAAGAACTTGACTCAACTGAGCCCGAGAGTTCGCGATTGTGCGGGGCCTGGTGCAGGATCAGAGGTGCAAGTACCTTTCTCTAGGCTAAGAGAAAACGAACCATCCTAAAGAACCCTGAAGCCCTAAACCCCGCAACACCAACCCCCGAACCTTAAACCCTAATTACTCCCGCACGTCCCTGAAGCCTGACCCTACGTTCCTCCGCCCTTAACTGCTTTGATCCCAAGCTACATATTTGCTCAAATCCGCAAACCTGCGCCCAGAACTCTGACTCTTGAACTTAAACCCTATACCTTCTAACTAAGATTCTAAACCCTATCATCCTCAACCCGCAACCCTGAACTCCCTTTCCAATCTTCAACGACCCGAAAAGCACCTATGCTGATGACAGGCCAGCCGTCTCGCTCGCGCTCCTCAGCCTCGAAACCGGACATTTCCGATCCCCTCTCGTAGCATAGTTGTTGAGCTTGCTTACTTTCTGTGTTAGGGATTGAAGTCTTTCTTGCTAAGGATTTTGATGATGCTATGGGAATTACATAGGAAATGGCGGTTCAGAGTAAAGTAAAGAATGCTACGAATTAGGGTTCAGGGTTCGGGTCTAAGAGTCTGGGATTTACGAGAGCGGCAAAGGTGCTTGGGTTTAGGGTTGCAGCGCTTAGGGTTTGTAGAGTGGAGAAACAGGTTGCTTTGAAGCCTTGTCTGTCACCCTAAACCCCTAAACCCTAAACCCTAAACCCTAAACCCTAAAGCAGTGGCGTCCACAAGAGTCGTTTCGGAGAAGGGTGCTTGCACCAGGAGGCCTGAGGACTCGCTCGTATGCGTCCTGGGTCTGCAAACGAAACTCCGTCCGACAATCAGTACAACTATAGGGTTTAGGATTAAGAGCTTTGGGTGTAGTAATCAGGCTGTAGTGTGTCAAAGTTGAGGGCTTATAGGTTCTCTAACTACTACGTTCTGCCTCTTGTGCCCGTTCCCTCCACCATGACATCATGAGGACGTGGCTCGGAGAAAACGCCCACTGACACCGGCCCCCTAAATCCTAAACACCCTGTTGAACTTCTGCTGGTTAGGGCTTTTGCTTCTGGTTTGGTCTGTCTTTGCTGTTGAACGTGGATGCATGCCCCCCAGCCCCAAAGCCCCTCAGCCCTAAAGACCCAGAATCCCTGCCAAAAGCGCATAAAACTCGTAAGCCCTCAACCCTAAACCCGAACACGCAACCCTGGCCCTGAAACCTTAAGCCCTCACCCTGAAACCGAAAACCCTCCAAACTCAACCCCGGAGACCCCTAGTGGGCGTCGAGTAGCTAGTAGCTACTAGCTAGTAGTAGTAGTAGTAGTAG